TGTAAATTGTCTTCATTTATTCTTCTTTATGATGTGTTTTTTAGTTGATTGATCGGCGGTGGTTGTCTTGTTTATTTGGTTTTGTTTTCTCTTGAATATCTTTGTTTTCTTTAACACACACTCACACATGCATACATACATATACATCTTTTTTTTTTTTGTTTTCTTTTTTTTTTTCACGATATATTCAAGGTCAGATATGTCATCATCTGATTGAATACCAATAAATATACAAAGACCACGTTCAATACTATTTACAATTTGATTATCAACATGAACACTGGATCGAAGAACACGTTGAATAAGTGCTCGCATTTATGTATCTAAAACTCACACTTGAAAAATAAAGATCAATATTTCTTGAAGACTACAATCGTTCTGTTATGTATTGAAATGATATAAAACATGTTGTTAGAGATAATATTTTTCAATAGAAGACGTATATTTGAAATCTGATTATTTTTTTTTTATATGTTTTATTAATATTTGAATGAAAAAAAAGAACTTTTACTCATGACTACTAAGAAGAAAGAAAAGAAAAAAAAACGGCGTGGAATTATTTTAATTCGTCTTGTTCTTTGTTTGTTTTTTTATAATGATGCTTCATCAATTGAAGATTTCAAGAAAATTGAATAAGTGGTTTACCTAGAAGAAAAAAAATCAAATTCAATAATTTAATTTGTCAAATTTGATAGTATAATAACCTGGTATGACATCATCTAGATTACTAATACATCCAGTGTCTTCTTCATCAATTAATTTGATCTGTAATTGATTAAGTTTCAATGATCTTTGAATATATTCTTGATTATTTAGAAGAACTTCATATTCATTAAATGATAAATGTTGATCTAATATATTAATATTATTATTTGCTTCTTTTACTAATTGTTGACAATAAGTAACAAAAGGCATAATTTTTTTTGCATATTTCACATCAATTTCTGGTCGATCTTTAAAATATGATGATAATATTTTATTATCTGGAAATGATGAATTTTCTTTAAAAATTTTTTTTAATTGATTAATAACAAATATTTGCCATCGAGGATAATCACGAGCAACATGAATAATTGCTTCACTATACTTTTTATTTTGTTGTGCCGTCAATGTTTTTGAACGATTACGAAAATAATGTACAGAATTTAAAAGATAATTACAAGAATCAATCAATGATTGATCAATTTTACCTGAAATATTTTAGAGTAAATATATATTTCATTTAAAAAATTGTTCTATTTTACCAGGTATTGGCCATTTAGCTTCCATAATTGATTTATTCGGATACAATAATTGATAAACATAATCACAAACATGTGGACAAATAGGTGCCAAAAGAAGTGTTTGAACTTCAATAAAACGTTTTATTAAAGACATATTCATTTTTTCAATTCCTGTACAAAGTTCTCGATAATTATCTCGACTATTTTGAAGTTGAAAAAAGCCATGTTTTAATACTTCTTTATATAACATATTTTCATAAGCTTCTTCAGTAAGTTTAATTGCTTGATTTATTGCACTTTCGAAAACACGATCAGAATAATCCATGAATTTCTTTTCATCATTTTCATTATTTGATTCCTGTTTATAATTATAAGACTATTTTAATATCAATTGATTATTTTATACAAACAAAAATATTCTATACTTTTATCGTAGTATAGACATTTTCTCTTCCTAATATAGTAAACAAATTTTCTTTTATGAATTTTAAAGAGAAATAGATAATTTATGTTTAAAATGTATATATTTGAGCTACTTAATTATCTTTAATTTAGAAAATAAAAAGAAATCTATTATTTATATTATGATTAGAAATATTTTTATTCTAGTTTAATTCTATAGATCTTATTGATATTTTTTTCATATTAAAAATAGATATTTATTTCGTTTGCTGTAGTTAATCAAGTCGATATGATTATAATATAGTATTCTATGTACTTACTTGATTAGCTGATTGATTAATTGTTTGAGAAGACGAAATATCAAGAACTTCTTTGACCCATTCAATAAATGCATGAAGACGAAGAAGTTGTGCTTCAGCATTTTGCTCATCGAAATTTGCATCTTCAATTGAATCACCAGCATCAGCAAGAGTAAGACGCATACCTATTTTGTTTCATAGATATTTATTTATTTTAATATTTAAATAAATGAAGAATTTACCATCAGCAGAAAATCGTTCAATAGCTTCTATTAAAGTCATAAAATTGCCTGTTGATTTGGACATCTTTAACGAAAAAAAAAAATATATATATATATATGAAATTTGTGTTTAAATTGAAATTAAATTAATAAACATTTATTACTTTTTCACCATTTAAGAAGAGATGTCCATTAGCACGAAATGCTTTTGGCCATCGATTATCTTCTTTTTTAGGCCAAATAGCTACATGATTATAAAGAGAAAATGTTAAATGGTTTGGTATAAGATCTTTGCCACTTGATCTTAAATCAACAGGATACCAATATTGAAATTCATTTCGAAGATGATCAAGAGTTTCTTGAGAAATATTTGTTTTTAATGAACTATAGGATTTATCAGTAAAAAATATATAATCCCAAACATCAATTGTCATTTCAGATGAACTTATATTAGCAGGACCTAAAATAGTCGATATTATTTATACAAAAGAATAATTTTGCCTTAAATTTCTATTTAAAGAAAAAAAACCTTTTATTAAACCAAATAGTTTAAGATAAAAATACTTTTGTTATTGTCAAAAATGAAGGCAACGTTCGTTTCAGAGACATTCAAAAAAAAAATTTTTATTGACAATTTTTGTTTCAATCGGTAAAAGTAAGATATGGTCAAACAACATGAGAACAAAAATTCTGAAGTAAAATGAATAGTATTATTCTTACATAACATCTTCAATATAAGTTCAGTAGTAAATCCTCGTATTCATTGAGCATTTCAAATCAGTCTATCGAATATTTCTATTTGTCTATGAATACTTTTGTATTGTCAAGTATTCTAAATAAATCACAACATGATATGATTGAGAAATGTTCAATTAGAATCTTAGATTTGCATGAAACTTATGTCGTCTTGATGATTATATTGTTTTAGATATAGAACAAGATATTCAGTCTAATCGGATGTTCGTTCTACTAACATATTAGAATGTTTTGAATGACTCTTTTTTAACCCTTTCCAGCCGGCTACCAGAAGACAGATAGCAAAGAAATCTTTTCCTACATCACTGTAGTTCCCTCACCATGGGGATAGGAAAAGTGTGTTCTTCGGAACAAAAAAGTTCTTCGGTATCGAATGGCTTGATGTTGCCATTTGGCAACACCCGGCCGTAAGGGGACAAAAATTTTGAAAAATTCATTTTTTTTTCATCTATCATAGTGCAATATTTTACGGTTTTTTTTCATCCACACCTCTATACTAAATCGTAGTTTGTATATTTGACCGTCTGTTGCACGTCAAGAGTAAAATATTTCTAGAATTCTCTACAACTTTCCAGAACAATGCGAAGTTAACCAGATCTGTT